TTAACTGCAATCGTGTGATATATCTCTTCCACCATAAATAGGGCTGTATTTGGGGTCCAAATGCCGACAACAGGTAATAGCTATACATAACTGTGTGTACAATAGAGTTAAGCAAACAAAACACTTCAACGATCACTGTTTGCGGGCATAACTTTGCGCCCACCCATCCCAGAATTGGCACTGATATTAAATAACATTTATTAAAAATATTGTTTTATCACATAATAAAATCAAATACCCATAAAGTGATGGTAAACGTGAAGAAAAGTGATTTGATTTGACTTTTTTCTCAACACAAAGAATACGGTATCAAATAAATCAAATAACTTAGAGTAAGCGTAAACCGCTTTCTCTGGCATTTCAGCGATTGCTTTTTCAGACCACTCTTCAGGTAGTTTCGGGTCCAAAGACTTGCGGCCAAACTCTAACCACTTTAAAGACGCGTATATATAGTAAGCGTTGATTACAACTAATATAAAGTTATAAATCATAATAATTTCGCGCAAAACAAACGGCTCTCGATTTTTCATAAGTTTTGGCCCCAATTTAGTGACAAATAAAAGCCATAATAACATAATCGTTAGGATCTTTTCCGGTCCTCCAATTAATAGAAAATATGATTTAACCCTATCGTCGGTCTCATCGATCCAATACTGACGCATGAGATAAACGAATACATTATTGTCGGTGAAAAATGCAGACATAGTTTATTCGTTAATTTTAATTTTGCTGGAAAATAAAATTTATATTTTTAACGATAATTCTATATTAGATTCATATTATAAATTGTTAAAATTTTAATAATACGAAATTTTCAAAAATAGGTATTAATTGATGAACATTTATTGAATTATTTACGATAAAGAATTTATTATTGATTTTTACAATAAATAATTGTTAAATTACATTGTTTAATAATTATTTGCAATAATATTTTTATAGCTTACCATACAATAAGGCACTGTTGGCTAGTTGTATAATTATAGTAGTGACCACAATTCACACAAATAATAACATACAAATACTTTATAAGAATTCTATATATTTATACTATTTTGATGTTAGAAATTGTAATTTATTTGTTAGGGAAAAAGAAATGGTGCTAAATATGGGGAAAATAGTCTATAAAAATTTATACAATTTGCATCAATCAATTGATTTATTTTAAAGTGATTTATTGCAATACTGTATAATACTTGTAAAATATAAATAAAATAGTGGTTATGGTATTTTGTCTAAATTTTAGGTATGTTTATTTTACATATATTTGCATATTTGTACATTTAATTGTAACATTCTCTTTAATCTATCAAATTTAATTTGATAGTTTTCTTGTATCAATTTATATTTATTTAAATTGTTATATATTTAAACTCAAAACAAGGTTCACACACTGATGTTATACGTTAACTACAATTCAGGTATTGTTAAAAAAATAAATTAACATTATTCACAGATTTAATATGAGTACATATTATTAGCAGTAGTACACATGAAGCCCATAGATTAATCATTGCCTTAAATTTAGCATTAATCTCATATACATCGAAACGCAGAGGGGCCAGTGTAGGGCCACTCTATTGTAATGGGCTAATGTAATGTCTATGGGTGCATGTAGGCAAAGCCTACGTTTGCGTCGTCCTGCTCATATAACATTATCCATAGATTTGTTCATAGGATTAGCATTAGTTCTATAGATTTAACAATACCCATAGACTTAGCATTACTCATGTTAAAGTATAGCCATAAATTTAAACTGTAATTCCATGTTAAATCATTTAGAGCGGGGGCCGGGGGAGAGGGCAAAACGATCCTATAAACCACATTATTCATACATGTAGATGAATTGTGATTAAAAATTTTCAAATATAATTTTAATTTACGTAAACATACTTGTTATTGCAAATGATAAGTTAATATAAAATACTTTATTTTAATTTGTAGTAAAACTAGTAATTGTGAGAAAACTATAATATCACTAGTTTGTTATTTTGATTGTATTTTGATAGTAGGATTTAACAATTTTATTATATAAATATATTTTATTAAGTCTTTAACTATAGTCACAACCTTTAATTACACAATTGTTTTTGCCATTTATTTTGTTATGATTTTTAAAAATACTAATATTGAACTAAAATTATACGTATAATTCAAAGTCTAAATAAAACACTGAATTTGCTATAAAATAGTTAGTCTTAACGATAAATATATTTTTATTAATTTATTTTTGAGGATTTTTTATTACTTTTATAAGTCTTTAAATAAAACATAAAAAACATATAAAAGAAGACAAACGGTTGGATAAAAACCAACAAATTAAAAGCCAACGGATAATCAGATAAATCCCCAAACATTACACAATACATGGCATACACTATAAGTAACGCGAACTGTATTAACTGCAATCGTGTAATATATCTCTTCCACCATAAATAGGGCTGTATTTGGGGTCCAAATGCCGACAACAGGTAATAGCTATACATAACTGTGTGTACAATAGAGTTAAGCAAAC